TAGTATATTAGGTTTGGGCACCAGATTGAACTATAGTAAAGTTTAAGAACCAAGTCAGACATCACCTTTTCTGTTACTGCCTCACATAGAATAATTTTCTCTGATCTGTGCGTTTGTGCTGCATGTTGTTTTTATTTTGTTTTATCTTACTGAACTTAAAGTAATGAGTAATGGTTAAGGGGTGTTTTACTGCCTAAGAGGAGAGTAATCTCCAGCAGTTTGTGAAAAGGGTATTAAATGTACCTTGTATGTGAAAATCACTAGTAGATTTTAGAAGAATGGTCTAGCAAAGCATGAGAGAAAGTGGCAGTGGATCTTTTTAACATTCTAGAAACAAATTAATCTGTCACACATTAGGAACACATTGGCTGATCAAGTCTGATTGACCAGTGTTACTCTTTTTGTCTGTGTTTGAATGTAAAAGTTATGACAGGTTCCACTGACATTTTATCATTTGAAATGATTGTATTAAATTTTAGAATCAACCTTAACTGCCTTTTCGGCTAACGATTTGTTCATTTTTGTAAAAGTGCGTTTCTCTTATTGCCCATTTTGTTCTTCCGTTGTGTTTTTTTTTTTGTCCAGCAGGGGGAGTAAGGCAGAGTGGTTGAGAATGTAGGGTCTGAAGTAGACTTGCTGGGATTACATGCCTGCTCTGTGTAAGCTCTTGGACAAGTTACCTGACTCTTGAGACTCAGTTTCCTCCTCTTTACAATAGGGATATAACAATAGGAGTTACCTCATCGGGTTGTTTCAAAGATTAAATGAATCAGGGCGTTTAAAGGGCATAGGGTCTGACACAGTGCTCCATGCAATGGCTCAGCAACAGTTCACTGCCTGCCTTTGCTGCAGTTAATTAGTTAGTAATAACTTCAGGTATTCACGGACAAAACAGCCCACCACTTTTTTTCCCTTCATGCTTTTAATTTTATATTCTTGCAAAGGGAACGATGCTCTGTTCCCTTGCTTTCAGCATTTTTGTTGACATTATCATTGCATATACTCTCCTTACCCTAGGTCAAGAAGATCCCCTGGAGGAGGGCATGGCAACCCACTCCAGTATTCTTGCCTGAAAAATCCCATGGACAGAGGAGCCTGGTGGGCTACAGTCCATGGGGTTCGCTAAGAGCTCGACATGGCTAACGATACAGAGCACACACACATACTCTTCTTAATTTTATTCATTGTATAGTTGCCATCCAGTTCAGACTGAAGGGAGGAGAGTCTGAGGCTTCTCAGCCTGAAACAGTCTTTTAAATAAAACCGTTTAATTAAATTATCTGTCTCTTTTTTACTTGGTTAACAGTGTGATTTATCAACCAAAGTAATTCTCTCATAACACTTACCTTGCAGTTTCACAGTTCTAAATACTTTGGAAGTGTTAAAACACAATTATATTCAGAATGATTTTTGAGTTTATGTTATTTGAATTTTCCAGTTGAAACATGGTAACCCAGATCACTTTGGAAAACTGAATTGCTTGGTGGTATTTACTAAAGCTTGAAACTCTGTGATCTAGCTTGATATCCTATAGTTCTTCTTTGTACATAAACATCCTGCACATGTGTTCATGAAAATACTTGTACTGGAAAGTTTATAACAACACTGTTTGTAATAGTGCCTACTATAAGTTACCCCAATGCGCATCAGTAGAATACATTTTGGTATACTCATACCATGTAATACTATAGAGAAATGGAAAGTAAGATCTGCCAAATACATCTTAACAGTATGGTTGCTGAAGAGCAGGAATGAGTCTGAGAAATACAGTACTGAGAGAAAGAAGTCTGAAGGAGAATCTGCTGTATGTCTGGTTCTGCTTCTGTCAAGAATAAAATTAGGCAAAGTCTGATCTAAGCTATTCAGAGTCCATGTAGTGACATTGCTGATTGGATGAGGGGGTGGTGACTGACAGGGATGATGAAGGGAACTCCTGGAGTGCTGTTAATATCTGCTTCCTGATACAGGTATGTTTAGTTTGGGAACAGTCATCAAGCTGAAAAACCATCTTTTGTGCACTATGCTTCATGTATTGCCATAAACCTTTTTTAAAAATCCTTAAATATATATACCACAAACCTGTTACACATTTGATGATATTGAGGTGCCAGTCTGAATGCACTATTTTTGTCCTGCCTCCTTGTTTCATCAAAAGAGAATTAAAACAACAACGGTAAGAAAAATGAGCATCCTCTCTGAGTCTCCTCGACATTGGTAGTTTTCTTGGGCTTCCTACATCCCCCCTACAGGGATGTAAACTGTCCCTGTCAGTAAATAGGGATGAGGAGGATGCTTGATCGCAGAGCAAGCATCCTTTTAATAAAAAGGAATTGGCTGTGGAGGGAAACTTGAGGCATGTGGACCTGGAATAAAGCAGCACCTTCTTGGCCACTCTTTAAGGGACTAGAGAGCTCTGCTAAATTCATTGGCAAAATCCATTACACTGCCTCGTAGACTTTCTGGATAAAACAAAATAAATTTTCACTGTTTTAAGTGACATATATGGGGGAAGGATAGGAACTGGTAGACTGTTTTATCAAGCTACTGTTTTTAGCACAGTCCACAGGAAAAATAATATTTAATAATTTAAGACCTGTTTTGGGGAATTCCCTAGTGGTCCAGTGAGTGCTTTCACTGCCAGGTATTCTGGTTTGATCCTTGGTTAGGAAACTAAGATCCCATGAGCATGTGCCTCCCTCCCCAAAACAAAACAAAACAAAAACCTGTTTTTTTTGTTTTTTTTTTAGGCTTCAGTTTCCATTAATGCAAATAGAGTTTTTTTTTTAATTTTTACCTTATGTGTGTTTAAGTTTTGTAAATTTTCTTATGTCTAAATACATACTAATAATATATGCATAATAATACATACACAAAATAATACATAACAGATTCATCAATACAGAAATGATTAAAAAGCAAAAGCCTTTTCCTGGTTCCACTCATAGAGTTTTTTGTGTTCATACAAAAAGGTGTACATACTGTATATTTATTGATTCTAAAGTGAAGTTACTCAGTCATTTCCAACTCTTTGTGAACCCGTAAACTGTATGTAGCCTGCCAGGCTCCTCCATCCATGGAATTTTCCAGGCAAGGATACCCCCGTGTTGATACATTAATTCTAAGATTCCAAGTACCATATTGATTCCAAGATGCACTTTATTACCCCATGTTTTAACATATCTGAAATTGGGATGTATCTTTCACTTGTTATCCACTAGATGGTGATCATGATGGAGTTTTCCTCACAGGAAATTTGGTCATAGCTGTTCATATTGTCTTCACTTCAGTTGAGTTATATACCCTGTTGCTGCCACATGGCTTGAGTTTAATTGCTGTTATAAGTGTCTTAAAAAGAACTGTGCTGTATGATTTGGCTTTAAGGCAAAAAGTTAGTGTGCAGAAAGGCATAGGAAAGGCAGCAGGGAGCAAATTTAATATGAATGAAGTAAATATTGTTTATTGGGAGGATAACCACAGTTCTGTTTCCTTGCAAAGTAAAAACCAAGCACTTTATGGAATCAAGAAAGGGAATTATTTGAGTAAGCGAAGGTATGCTGTGTTTTATTCCTGAAACATGTGCAAAAGTGTTCTCTATCACACGCCAGGTAATTCATTTAAGGCAAGAGAAGTTACCAAATCCTGTAGAATAGATGGTTGGTGTGACCAGTTCATGAACCATACAGGACTATTTTAAGACACTGTGTCATAGCTTTAATTACTCAGTTCAGTTCAGTCGCTCAGGCATGTCCAACTCTGCGACCCCATGGACTGCAGCACGCGAGGCCTCCCTGTCCATCACCAACCCCCAGAACCTACTCAAACTCACGTCCATTGTGTCAGTGATGCCATCCAACTATCTAATCCTCTGTTGTCCCCTTCTCCTCCTGCCCTCAATCTTTCGCAGCATCAGGGTCTTTTGAAATGAGTCAGTTCTTGGCATCAGGTGGCCAAAGTGTTGGAGTTTCAGCATCAGTCCTTCCAGTGAATATTCAGGAGTGATTTCCTTTAGGATGGACTGATTGGATCTCCTTGCAGTCCAAGGGACTCTCAAGAGTCTTCTCCAACACCACAGTTCAAAAGCATCAATTCTTCAGCACTCAGCTTTCTGTGAGAGTCCAACTCTCACATCCATACATGACTACTGGAAAAACCAAAGCTTTGACTAGACGGACCTTTGTTGGTAAAGTTACAAAGTTACTCACTTCTTATAATTGAATTTGAAGACTTTGAAAATATCTTTATGTGTTTATTCAGTGTTTTACATCTATTGATTTTGGTTTTTCTGTTTTAAACTATTAATATAATGTTTTATATTAATACATTTCAGATGTCAAACCATCCTGTATTTTTGGGAAAGCAATTTGCTGTATTTTTTTTAATTGGTAGTTATTTTGTGAATGCCTTTTCAGTTTAATATGTATAGATTAATCTTATTCCTTTTAGTGATTCTGTTATTTTCCACTGAAAGAATATATTATAATTTCTTAAATGGCTGCCATTTGATATGCATGATTTCTGGTTAAAAACAATATAAGAGGGAACATCTTTCTACATACACCTTTATATTCCCAGTCTAGTAATTCTATAGAATAAGTTCTTAGAAATGCTGTGCATTTTCATTGTTTGATGAAAGAAAATCAGTAGTTACTTTTTGAAAAGTATTTACTTGATTTAGAAATGTGAATCATTGTTGGAAAATATCAACATGCTAACAATGGTTGTCTCTGGGGTAATGGACTTATGTGTGATTTTTTTTTTTTTTTAAGTTTAATAGTAAAAATGGAATTTAAAAAAATGCTTAGGAAACCAAATACTACTTTAGTAGTTCTGGGATTGTGGGCAGTTGGCAGGTAGGAACTGTTGTCGTTGCCAGATAATTCATCTAGCATTATGCAAAACATGGGGAGCAAATTCAAAAGGTTTTTATAGAAGTAAGTTGAATTCTTTTTTTTTTTTTTTTTTTAGTTTAACAGAAAACTTACTGTTAATTCTTTTTTTAGGGTTTTTTGATTAACTCAAAACCAGAGAATGCCTGTGAACCCATCGTGCCTCCGCCAGTAAGAGATAATTCATCTGGCACTTTCATCGTGTTAATTAGAAGACTTGATTGTAATTTTGATGAAAAGGTAATGTTTCCGTTTTCATTTTTTGGTTACTGTTTGTTTAGCTAGCTAGTTTAAATTCTCTCTTGTTTCAGAAGGGATTTAAGAAAGTTTGCACAATTCATTCAGATTAAATAAAGGAGTAGGGACAGAAAGAAAATGAGGAGACAATGAAAGACAAGAGTGAGTTTACTTAACTCATTCATTTGCTATAAAATTTAAGCTTTTAGCTGCCAGTACAAAGAGGAAAACACCATCAGTTTTATGATTCACAGTTTTACCTAATTACTATTGGTTCTAACACTTTTCACGTGGTTATTGCGCATCTTGAACTGTGGTTTGATAGTGGTCTTGCTTGATCTAACCTAGGAATGGAAATGCTAGTCTTTAGTTTTATGTCTTCACCCTCCAGTATGATTACAACTTCTGTATCTATATCTTTGTTGATACTGGGATTTCTCTTTTGTAATAAGCTGACTGTCACATGTATAAAGTTTGTCTCCATGAAGTGGGTTACGTTGGCATTTCAAATAGTTAAAAGTTTGCCATAGGACTTCCCTCACTATCATTAATTCAGCTCTAAAGATGTGAGATTTTAAGGTTTATTTTTTGTTTTTTTATTCGTTTTTCATTTTGTTCTTTTTTGTTTTTTAATACTACCTTAAAAAATCTGTTTTTGGATTGTCTGCTTGTCAAGAGAGCCAGATTGACGCCTGTTCCTTTTATTGAACTATCTCACACCTGAGTGTCTTATGGGTGTCTTAGAGAACAGACGTGAGATATATCATTTCATGTACTGTGCATGCTTGATCTTAGATGATTTATCCGTTAAGTAAGAAAGGCTACTCTGACTCCTGCTGTGCCTGCCTTTTTGTCTCTGCTCCTTTCATTTCATGAAAGAAATTACACCTCCATAATAAACTTTTTAAATGAATAAAATAATAACTGTAAAGGAGTTTGAAAATGTAGAGCACTTTGTAAATAATAAATGTTGTTATATTGTATATTAGTTCCAAATTTAAACTCTCAGTTGCCTTTAAATGGGAAATAGAGCTTGAAGTCGAATGTATTGGATTTCCTTCTAATTGTTATGCTTTTATAGTAGTTTGAATTTAAACCATTTTAAGATTTGATCTAGAACTAAACTATAATAATTATAGATTGTTCCAGCAAAAATGAAATATTATTATAATATTTGATAATTTCATGCCACTAAGAAATGAAAAGTAAGCTAATTCTGCTGATTTCAAGGTTTATTGCATCATTAAGGTATGTAATATTTGTCTTAGTCCAGTCTTTGGTAATTCAAAACTACAATACCTTTTATTTTTTTTAAAGTAACTTTCTTTTTAGGTGGGGATGGGAGGTAATTGCACTATAACATTTAGGGAAATACTGTCATTAAATATTTATTTTTGGGGGTAAAACCCAACTCAGGAACGGATAGGAGGGCTTGTTAGTCCTCCAATCCCTTCAGTGAATCCTCATCATGTGTCTGAGTATTTCTAATGGAATTTCGTGATTTAGCTAATATTCTAGCTCATCACTTTCCACTTCCTGTCTTGAATTTTTTGCTGTAGCCATATCACCTACTGAAATCTCTCAACTTGCTGTGTTTTTGTGCCTTCACACATGCTATTTTCTCTGTCCAAGATCTTGAAGATAACCTTTATCACCTATATTTCTGACCATCTCATTTGAGTGCTAGCTGAGACCGTTACCTCTTCTGGAAGCCTTACTTTTCTTTCTCCCCTCCCTCGGGCAGAACAAATCATCCCAGCTCAATGTGCCTTTATATCTCTTTATCACATTGTTGTTTTTATTATATGTAGTTCACTTATATGCAGTCTTACTGTGTTTAGAGTTCATGTTTTAACTATGTTTAAATATCTAATTTGTATTATAGTGCATAGTAGGAGAGCAATAAAGTTTTGTTAAATCAAACTATGTATTATAGTAAGTCTTCTACTTATGTGTATAATGTATTCTTTAAAAGCACATGCATATAAAGAATATGTAAAAATGTTTTAATTGAGGATTCTAATCTTAGAAGGAAAACATTAAAATATTTATTATATAACTCATTGTGTAGACATAGTCAATAGATAAAGTTCTATTCTGTACATATTCTTTAATTTCGTTAATTTTCCTTCATAAATATATTATAGACATTTAAAATGAAAGATTTCTTACTCATTTCTAATGATTTCTTTCAGTTATATTAAATTTATAAGACATTAATTTACTGAGGGAGACATATTGGTTGTATTCAAGATCTGGAAACAGACTGCATACATTTGAATCACACCTTTATCATTTATAGTAGTGTGATCTTAGACAAGTTATTTTTATCTCTCTGTGCCTCAATTTCTTTATCTGTAAAATAGAATTATAAATGTTCCTGATATCATAGAATTGTTATAAGGATTAAATGAAATAGTCAGTGTTGAATGCTTGTCAGACATGCCTTGCACACAGCAACTAGGCAGTAGTTATTAACCATCAATGTTTTATTGATTTTTTTATTATTGATATAAAATAGAATAAGGGTAAAGATGGCAAAGATGCTGACTGTACTAGGCTGGGAGGTCCTGTAATCTATTCTCTGCAAGCTGGATAACTAGGAAAACCAGTGGTGTAATTCAGTTAGAGTCTGAAAGCCAGAGAACCGGGGGATCTGATGGTATAATCCTAGAGTCCAGAGACCCAAAAACTAAGAGCTCTGAAGTTTAAGGGCAGGAGAATGTGGATGTCAAGAACAGAGAGAGGGAATTCATCCTTCTCTTCATCTTTTGTTCTGTTTGGAACCTCTAGGAATTTAATGATGCCTATTCACATTGTTGAGGGTGGATCTTCTTTACTCAGTCTACTGAATGAAATGACAAACACTTCAAAAACCCCCTCACAGACACCGGCCTAAATATTTTACCAGCTGTCTGGACACCTCTTAGCCCAGTCAAATTAACACATGAATTCAGTTATCACCTTTCAGAAACTAATCATTGGCTGATAAGTCACACTGTGATATAGTAACTCATGTCAACTGATGTGTAAAATTTTTAATTTGGTTTATAAAGGACAGTGTTGTCATGCCAGTGTGTAATGTATAAAAAATAAATTTCATAAATACACAAGCTTATGAATTACAGATCACCTGTCAAGGTAGGGTGAGTGGATAAAGATAAAGTCATAATGATTGCTGGGAAAACAACTGGAATCTCATTCCAAAGAAAATTTCTTTTCTAATGGTGATCACTGGTGAATAGGCTATTAGCTTTATTAGCTATAATCTTCAGATCAGAAATCCATGACTGTACTTTTTTGGCTTCCAAATTGATGATTAAGTTTTGTAGTAAGTATGTTGCAGAAACCAATCATTTACAATTTATGTATGGTACTTCTCTTATGAATTGCAAATAAATAGCTCTTTGTGGATGCTCAATAGTGGTTCATTCATGTGTAGCCACAATTTTTTATGAATAAATTGACTTAAGAAAATAGTTAGAAAAAGAGCTCATTTTCTTATTCCTGATGCAACATGCTAGGACTGAATACTGACAAAAGCTTAATTCAACACCATACTGTATGCTACAGTATATTGAGAATAGTTACAAGGTGGTTTTTTTGTTATGCCTCCTATACAAAGTGATACCCAAATTATGTCAGACAAATGAGAATTGGCACCATCTTACAGAGCTTTCTTTGGTGAAAGGAGCCCTTTCCATTGTAGATAGCAGAAGAGAAAAGAAGTAAAAAATGAAATTTTCTCAAGATACTTCAAATGATAATGCTGGTGGGTATTTCAAGGTTTACTTATTATAAATCTTTAGACTTTTTTTTTTTTGAAGAAGAGCATTATGCTGTAATTAAAGAAACCTAAACTTCTCTTATTCTCTCTTAAAAGTAAATGAGTGAAAGCTGTATGTTACAATAAAGGAGATGACAGATTTTCTATGCAAACTATCCCAAGTGGTTTGTGACTCAAGGTAGCTAATAAGACGCTGAAATGCAATTAACAGTTTTTGGAAGGTAGAAAATTGAATTGTTTGTAACATTTAAACATAGAGTACTGTTTTAATTTTTTTTTTTTTTAATGTTTTGTCAAGAGAAGCACATTTGAGCCTTTTAGTCTTCTTGCCCTGGAGAGATAATAGCAGAACCCATACTCAGAATTAGTATTTGGATATGTGGTGTGTCCAGAAGGCCAGTAATAACTATTGATTACATGCCAGATGCTTAACGTGAGAACAGTCACTTTTACTCACACTGACAAAAACTGCATCTTCTGAAAAACCCAGCGCTTTAGAGGAAAAGCAGAGCAGTGTTATTTTGTTTGTCTTTATGCACTTGTGCTTCACTGTGACAAAATATAAGTGTTTGGAAATGTTAGCTTGTGGTGAGTGTTTGAAATTAGGGAAACATTTCTGGCTTTCTGGTAAATAAATTAAGGCCTTATTAAATCTTCTAGTTAGAAAAATGACTTCATAGCATTCTGAGGCAGAGAGGTCTCAGAAGACTTGAATTGGCATCCCAGTGGGAAATAACATTTAAAAATTTTTGTAGAAATACTTGGTTATTTCAAGAACATTAAAATAATCATTTAAAATAGAACTTTTGTAAGCTACACAAATTTCTGTGTTTATAGCCAAAAAATCATTAGTTGTCAAAAATCTGTTGCCATTGCAGTCCGAAATGTTTCTACCTTGTGGTTTTAATGCTAAGTCAACTTCTTCAAATAGTCAATTTGCCTTATTTCAGCTGAACTCAAGGGAAGCTTGGTAAACAGAAATGGTGTAGTGCACGTACTTCTGTTGAATCTTATTACTGCTTAATGCGCTAGTGATTATTTTCGAAAAATGTAGCTAGCTGGAGGAGGCTGAAAGGACTTAGATATTATTCCCTCCCTATTTCAGGGAGGGGGTTTGTTAGATGGAGTTACATTTGCATGGTAGATGAATACAATCCAAGGAATATGTTGGTACTCGTTTTCAGTTGGAACGTGACTTTTACAAAACCCAACTGGG